TTCTCCAAAGAGATCTCTCTTCGCATTAGGTGACCAAAATATCCCAGGTAGACCAGACAGGAAACATGACCGAATGAGCTAATTCTACTTTATTGTAAGGCTACATTAACAGAATCTTGCAAGCCTGAAAGTACAAATCTCCAGCCATCTCCTTTACAGCCTGAGAAGTTAGGGAGAGTCCCTTCTGAGCATCTTTCTCCCCCCATTATGCAGCTGGGGGCTATGCCCTCTCTTATCTGACCATTTCCTAGGCAACATCTCCCTGTTTCTCAAGGTCTTTCTCACATACCATTACATCTTGTGTCAGGGAAGTATTAAACATACATTCAGAAATGGAGGGTTGCAGGAATAATGTCTTTGGGGCTTTCAGAGTGGTATAACCAATTTGGAGGGTTATGCTGTTGTGTAGAAAAATGAGAGGGGCATTGATGGAATTTTCAGGTAATAGAAAGTCCAGTTGACTTACATGCCACTGTTGAGGTAGCCCATTGTCACAGACCTTATAATAAATATATAGGCCACTGTTTTGCTGGCCCTTTACCTTAGACTTTGTAATAAGAACTCTTAGAACAAACTCAGTACCAACAATCTAAATAGTTCCACCTGCTTTTTGCAAAGTGGTCCATCACCATTGCTTACGCTTATGCAACATTTCTCATTTGAAAAATCCTTCCTATTGCTAGCAGAGAAAAGATATATTGGAAAGAACTTTATACTTGCACTGAAGATTAAATATGCATACAAGGAATTTTCATTGCATATTCACTAGATAAAGCTCAAATTGGAAAGGTGTCATTAACAGAATTATAGATTTTTTTTTTTTAAGAACAATGCAGTACTGAATTAAAATATATGTGTGCTGCAGTGTATGATTGACTGGCAAATAAGGTACTTGTTCATTAATGCTATGAATGTAGCATTAGAACCTAATATAAAACCCGCCAAGGAAAAGAATTGTGCACTTCTTTTTAAACAATAAACTGACTAATCTTCATCCCTGTCTAAATATGCTAAAAGAACTAAAGCGCTGACATGTATAATAAAGTAATTATGTTTTAAAAAATCATGAAAAGGAATAATGCAGTTTACTACATGAAGAGTTTGTACTCAGCAATGCTGTTGGCTGCAAATGGAAATTTTGGCATATGAGAATGATATATGTTGTTTCCAGCCATCTTTTAAATAAGGGGGCAAAAGTGATTTCACACTCTCTAGTTTTGTATGAAATAGTTATTTTCCACTGTATAAAATGCTTAGTTTTGTAGTTTCTTCAGAGCAGTTGAACAGTGAATATCCATTTTTTAAAAATTAATTACTAACAGTGTTAATTATCTAAATAAATAATATTTCTCTTTGTTTACCAGCATTTAGGTTATTCATGTAGGTAAACTGAATGAATTAAAAGCTTTGAAATGCATGGCTTGTATTAAACAATTGTGAGGGAAGATTTAGTTGAACACTAATATCTTCATGAAAGAAACTTTAAAAATCCAGTTAAGACAATTCTTTATTGTGTCAACTTGAGATTTGCAAAATAGTTGGAGGTTTTCAAGTTTATCAGAATTCTCTGTCAAGCAGGATAGTAAAAGGCCTAGAAAAATGCAGGAAGGCCATTAATTTCTTAGAGGGAGGTTTAGATAGATAGATACATGCATATACACATATACATACTTTGAGTAGGATGTTTCTTCTGCTGATGAAACATTCCCATAAATCATTATGGATTCCTAGGAAAAAAATGGAATAGGCATTGTATGCTTTACAATTATTGTGTCCATAATAGCTATATGTTTTTACATTTTCAGAGTTCAAAGAGAACCATCTTCCTTAGACCCATTAAAAAATAGATATGTAACTCCCTTACTTGCACCTTTTCTCTGACTGGAATAAGGGGGAGTCTGGCAGCACATTTTAAGATTAACACATTTTATTAAAAGGCATAAGCTTTTGTGAACTGTAGCTCACTTCATCAGTTGCACAGGTGGCTAAACAAATGTATGGTTTGTGAAGTTCTTGGTGCTTTCTAAGCTTAAATGTCTGTGGGGGTGTGGTTTCCTTCTTGGTGGTTCCTTGATTAGAGTATTGTTTTCTGCCTGATTGCTTGTCTAGTGCTGATCCCTGCTTCTCTGAATGTTGGCTGCTGGAGAGGATGTGTTCTGTCTTTTTGTTTCCTTCCTGGTTTTTTTATTGTCTCTCTTACTTATGGAGAGCATCTGTCTGGAGATCAAGTGGATTATTTTACAACCTCTCCTTTATCCGGAGAGATTTCGGCATCCAATGTTGACCCACTGGATGCCAGTCTCTGCTGTGGTGCCATCTCCGCTCCTCCAAAGATGACTAGACCGCCATTAATCTTCACTGGAAGTCCTCCTTTTATTGTCTCTTTTGAAAGGTGGCAAGCTACTACGTATAAGCAGGCCACAAACCCCACACTCGAGAGCCAGTTTGGTGTAGTGGTTAAGGCACCAGGCTAAAAAGTGGGAGACTGTGAGTTCTAGTCTTGCCTTAGGCACGAAGCCAACCTTGGACCAGTCACTCTCTCTCAGCCCTAGGAAGCAGGCAGTGGCAAACCACTTCTGAAATCTTGCCAAGAAAACTGCAGGGACTTGTCCAGGCAGTCTCTGGGAGTCAACACTGACTCAAAGACCAAAAAAAAAAACCCCACTCTCACTGATGTTATGTAGTTGGGTAATGAAACGTCTACAAGCAAGCAACCAAGCTCAGAGAGCATCAGGAACTCCACAGTTCAACCCTGAGCTACAGATATTCTCTTCTATTGTAATGTAGGATTTAAATTGGGATGAAGATGTAGATTACATGTGAGACAGATTACAAGTATTTTATCAACAAGCAATTGTGTTAAAAATCCATTGTGCTTGTTAAGAGAAAGCCTGAAACCATTTGATCTATGTGAGTTTAGCAATCTCTTGCTCAATTGTGTTGGTTAAGTTTCTTTGTCCCAGAACAGCTACTTTGAAATCTGTAAAGGGATGTTTTGCTATTACTTTGCCCTTGTTTCGTATCCTGATCTCAAACTTGTGCCCATTAATTCTTTTGCACAAAGTCTGGCCTTTTTGCCATATGTAGAATCTAGAGGGGCATTGCTGGCAGATGATGACCATTAGAGAAAGGGCGAGCTCATTGTCCAACCTGTTTGTATTTTTCTTGACCATTTGTCTTCAGTTCCTCTGAAAGATGTATTTGGAAAAATCTTGTTCATTCTTAAGTATCTTTATGCAATAATTCTGGTCCCATTAATCCTGTTTTATCCTAATTGCTTGGCAGGATTTGAATAACAAATTCACATTTTATAACTCCGATGAAGAGCTCCTATTCAAGAAAAAGCCACTTTTGTTGATCAAGCTTTGCTCCATTTTTTTCTTTTATGCAAAATTTTGTAATTTATTTCACCAACAGGTAAAAATGAAAAATTATATTTTGTTTGGAGGGAATGTCTTTCTTTTTTTATATAATTTTATTAAAAGTTTTAAAAAAGAATATAAAAACTAATACAAACTAATATAAAGTAAGGAAGAAAGAAAGAAAAAGAAATCAAAGAGAAAGAAAGTTAAAAGTGCAAGAAATAAAGAAAAAGAAAAATAGAAAACAAAGAAAAAAGATACAGAGAAGTGGCTTCTGATCTTTATAGCAGTTATAAGTACAACTATGAATTTACCTCTTTCTCTAAAGTTACAAATTCAAATCAACTCTTTATTATAGTCAAAGACCAGCATAAGGAGGGTGGGGTACAGTCAATTTGAAAATATAGAAAATATATCAGAGTCTAAATAATAATAATAATACTCCAGATGTTTTGGGATTGCACCCAAGGTACCTATTATCTGGAGTACCACTTGAAGACCATTTTTTTTTTTTTTGTCTGCGCTCAGTCATTACTGACCCTGCAGTGACTGCTAGGACGGGTCCTTGCAGTTTTCAAGGCAATTGTTTCGGAAGTGGTTTGCCAGAGCCTCCTTCCTAGAGCAGAGCCCAGCTGGCGAGCGCAGGAGGCGGGGGTTCCGTTGCTTTGCGCCCTTTTCGGGCACGCACGGTTTTTCACACTTACCAGCAACTGCTCCCAACTCCATTTTTGCAAGGCGCCGCCAGCAGTTTTCCTCCCACCGGAATGAGAGTACACATTTATCTACTCACGTGAGTTTTCGAACTGTTGGGTTGACAGGAGCTGGGGAGGACGCAGGAGCTCACCCTGTTTAACGCGAAGGCTGGACTCGAACCGCCGAAGCGTCAGCCATTTCTGGCCGGCAACTTTCAGCGTCATTAAGCCGCTGCGCCACCGCGTCCCCCTTGAAGACCATTGACATTGACAAAATCACCATCAGTCAGTTGGTAAAGGGAGCTTTACTTGGAACAGCTTAAGTCCTGCAACGATACCTTTAACACCATCAAAAAATATCTGCTTATCCCAGGTCCTTGGGAAGGATTCGATAAGTGGATAAAAATGCCAAATCCAGTCTAAACATCTGGCTGACTATGCAACCAACAATAATAGTTATTATTATTATAAAAAGCTAAAATATACAAAACAAAAAGTATATCTAAAAGGAGGGGTAGGAGCGTTAGGTGTAGGGGGCATAAAGGTTAGTATGTGGCAAACTATATCAAATTACAAAGCATTCTAGTATGATGAACTAGATGCTCATTAAGACTAGTTTATGGCACAGGTCATCTGACAAACTTTAATCACTGCTGCGCAGAACCTGGCAACATTATGTGTTGTGGCAAGGTTGGTATCTGAAAGCAGCAGGGAGGTGTAGAATTGTCCTGTGCGCCCTGGAAATTTATACAATACTGGTGAGATGAGGCTAGTGCAAATGTCTCTGTAATACAGGCACTGGAAAAGCACATGCTCTGTAGTTTCTGTGCATCTAGAGTCACAGGGGTATTGTTTCTATGGGAAAAGACTTGTCTTGGATCAGCCTTCAAGGACAGCTGAGGGGAGGGCATGGCATCGTGCCAGAGTAAAGGCCCTCTGGTGGTTAAGTATTTCACGTTTAGTTAAGTATGTCACAGGGGAGGCAGGATGCCTGTTGGATTCCCTGGCAATAAAGGTTGGGGACCTGGCTAGTTCCATTTGGCCCTCTGTGTCTGCTAACGCTGTTTAATGAGTGCTTTGGCCTGATCATATCCCATGCTGAGTAGAAGACCTGGAGAGAAGCCCCAGGAGTAGATTTTAGTTG